GCTTAGTGTGGACTCTGCTTCAGATTCTCTCTCTCCCTCTCCTTCTGCCCCTCCTCCCTCAAATAAATAAATAAATATTTAAAAAATAAATTGAATTAAAAAAAGTTCTGTGAAAGTAACAGGTAACTTTTTTTTTTTTTTAAGAGAGTTAGCACAAGGAGAGGGGCATGGAGTGGGGTAGGGACAGGGAGAGAGAGAATCTTAAGCAGGCTTCATGCCCAGCACAGAGCCTGACAGAGGGCTCTGTCTTTTTACCCTGAAATCATGACATGAGCAGAAATCAAGAATCAGACACTTAACTGACTGACCCACTCACATGCCCCTAACAGGTAACTTCTAATGAAGGATCATATGAGGCATTTAAGTTTCTGCCTTTATCTTTTGTATTACTCATTCTGGGGAAATCCAGGTACCATGTTATAAGGACACTCAGCAGCATTTCAGAAAGATCATCAGGGACAAACCTGAAGCCTCATGCCAACAGTTAGCACCAATTTGCCATCCATGTGAATGATGGACCTTGGGAGTGTATTCTTCAACCTCAGTTAAGCTGTTGGATGGCTGCATCCCCAGCTGATAGCTGACTGCAACTTCATGAGAAATCCTGAGCCAGAACCACCCAGCCAAGCCAATTCCAAATTCCATTACACAGAAACTGAGCACAATAAATGCTTTTTTTAAAAGTCACTAAGTTTGAGGCAATTTACTGCATAGTAATATAAAACTAATACTGACAGTGTGTGTGTGTGTGTGTGTGTGTGTGAGAGAGAGAGAGAGAGAGAGAGAGAGAGAGAGAGAGAATGTGTGCATGTATTTGATTAGTAGATAGATTATCAAGTTAATAAGTTTTTCTTTAAAATATAGTTTTATGTTGGTAAAGATGGTACTATAACAAGCCACACATTGCCTAATGGCAGTTATAAACCAACATAACTGTTTGGAAAGGAGTGTTTCAATATATAGCATGAGCCTATATATTGTGCTATACTTGGACCCCCTATCTCACCCTATACAAAAATTAATTCAAAATGAATCAATAACCTAAATATAAGAACTAAAAGCATAACACTTTCAGAAAAAAATCATTGGGGTAAAACTTTATGACCCTGAATTTGCAAATGGATTCTTAACTATGACACCTAAAGCATGTGTATAGATAAATTACACTTAATCAGAACTTTTTCAAATTTACATATCAAAGGACATTATCAAGAAAGTGAAAAGACAATCTATTGAGTGAGAGAAAATATTTGAGTCCTATATAAGTCTACTGTTCAGAATATGTAAGGAACTCTTAAACACAAGTACAAAAAGAAAAAAGAAATAGGCAAAGGAATTCAGTAGGCATTCCTCCAAAGAAGAAATACAAAAGACCAACAAGCATATGAAAATATGTTCAACATCATTAGTCAATAGGGAGGTGTACACCAAAACCACAATGAGATACCAATTCATACATACTAGGATAGTTCATAATAAGAAAAACGGAAAATAACAACTGTTAGTGAGAATACAGAGAAATCAGAACTCATCCATTGTTGGTGGGAATATAAAATGGTGCAGCCACTTTTGGAAAGCAGTTGGGTGGTTCCTCAAAAAGTTAAACACAGGATTAGCATATTACTCAGCAATTCCACACCTCAAAATATACTACAAAAATTGAAAATAGGTACTCAGGAAATTCTTGTGTTACAGTCTCACTATTCAGAATACCCAAAAGTTGGGGATAAAGCAAATATTCTTCAAAGGATAAGTGAACAAACTGTAATATATAAATACAAAGGGATATTATTTAACCATAAAAAATTAATGAAGTGCTGACCCATACTACAATGTGGATAAACCTCTAAACACTATGGTAAGTGAAAAACGCCAGAAAAAAAGATCACATGTCATATGATTCTATTTACATATTTACATATGGAGTTCAGTCACATGGCCAATGATGTAGTCAATCACACTTACGTAATGAGACCTCAGTAAACCCATAGAGATGGAAATCAGATTGGTGGTTACCAGAAGGTATGGTAGGGGAGAATGAGGACTGACTGATTAATAGGTATGAGGTTATCTTTTTCATTGATAAAAATGTTTTGGAACTAGATAGAGGTGGTAGCTGCACAGCATTGTGAATGTACTAAATGCCACTGAATTGTACACTTTAAGGCAGCTTATTTGGTGTTAACTATTATGAATTCCAGTTTCAGTTCAATTAAACAATGTTATATAGTTTCATTCAGAAATTCCAGTTATGTAAATGTGTCCTATAGAAATATTAAATTCAGGAAAAAGGGAATATACTAAAAATATTTTCAAAATATTTTCAAACATGAAGACAACTAAGGTCCAACAATAAGGAGACTCTGTGAGTTGTTGGAATCTAGCCTTTGATTATACTTCTCTGGTTCAGCTCATCTGCCTTATAATGAAAATAAAGACAAAATATTGTATAAGAATTTGTTAGTGTGTGGCTATCACTTCCTAACTGAAAAATCTTGGATAAATTTCTAAATCATCAAATCCCACATTTTTCAGCTTTTCTGAAATTAACTTTTCTTCTCTCTGAAATCAGGATAATAATGCCTGCCTAAAATAATGTTTAATATATGATAATTCCCATTTCCCCACTTTTACACATAAAAGTGAAAAGGAACAAAACACACCAAAGATAATTTTAGTGGATGTGTTTAGGTGGTTGGATTTTGCATGACTCTTTTTTCCCATCTTTGTTAGTGGGCATTATGCACATGCATACGCACACACAAACACATACAGACAGACACAGAGAGTAAAAACGGCATTTAACTACTCTAAAACCATCAAAGATCCCAAATGGCTATCTCAGTACAAACTATAAAGAATAAAATGGAATTCAAGTTCTTCTGTAATCTGAGCTCCACTAGGTATATCGGTTTATTTTTATCAGTTATTTACCAGTGAGCTAGATAGTCTGAACTCAGCGCTATTCCTCAAAGACTTAATGCTCCTTCCATGAAACCCCGTGTTATCGGCCCACCTGGAATGCTTTTCTATTCATCTTTACCTGTCTGCTCTTCAAATCTCATCATATGCTGCCTTTCCCAACATGATTATCTGAATGGAAATATTCTCTATTCTTTAATACACTCCTGTAACACCTCACGCAATGCTGTGTATAGAGGGATATAAGTGTTTGGGTCATCTTGCCTCTATCTGATGGTGTGTTTCTTGAAGTAGATATGTGCGTGCACACACACACACACACCATGCATTATGTCTACCTGATACATGATGAATAAATAAAAAGAAAAAAAACATGAACGAAATAGTATAAGATGTGAAATTTAGTTTGATTATTTTTTACTTCCTAAACTAATAGCTTCCTCTCATTTCCAGAGATTGATGTGTCATAGAGTATCTTTATTTTTCCTGAAGAAAAGGCAAAAATAAGAGACAGAATATTAAGATTGGTCCATAGGTATATGTTTCTGGTGTTCACTGTATTTTTTGATAAACTTGATGTATTTTGCTGAAATATCCAATGTTATCCTAATTTTATACATCATATCCCAGAGTAGCAGAACCATTACACATGCCCAACATCAATGTATGAATGATCCAGCTTCCTGGTGCTTGCTATGGTTTGGTGTAATCACTATTTTTTTTTTTTTTTTTTTGCCATTTTGATCCGTATGTAGTCATATGCCACTGTTGTTTCAATTTGTATTTACTGAATGGCTAATGATGTTGAACATATCTTCAGGAGCTTCATTTGAGATCTTTCTCTTCAATGAAATGTCTCATGTCTTTGCCCATTTTCTGATGGTATACTTGTTTTGTTTTTTGTAACTTGAGTTTTGAGAGTTTTTCTATATATTCTAGATATTAGTCCTTTGCTGAATATGGGAATAGCAAATACTTTCTCCCAGACTGTAGGGTGGATTTTCATCCTCATAGCAAGGTCTTTTACAGGCCAATAGTTTTTCCTTGTCTATACTGTGACTTTGATATATAGTTTGAGAACTCTTTTCCTATTCCTACATACCATCGATTTTCTGCTATGTTTTGGGTTTTCTGAAAGTTTTATAAATTTACATTTTACATTTAAATCCATAATTCATTCTGAGTTTTTATATAGTGCCAGGCTTAGATAAGTGTATTTTTTCTTCCACTGAATTACTTTTACACTTTTGTCAAAAATCAGTTAGGCATATTTGTATGGGTCTGTTTCCTACTTCTCTACTTTGTTTCATTGATCTCTATGTCTATCCCTCTGCTCATTCCACATAGTCTTGATTATTGTGGCTACTGAAACATGATTTTTCTTAAGTTCATTATCAGTTTAATACATATTTATAGTAAATTAAAAATCTTCAGGTAAATAACATTATTTAAAAACTGGGAAATTGTAATATTTTGTTTATAAAACAAGTATTTTTCTTGCTATTATACATGTGCTTTTCATAATCTCAATGGATAGAGATATTACAGAGCAAAATTAAAGTAAAAAGGCTGAGATTTATAATAAGAAAAGATGTCTTCCATTATAATCTCCCTGTTTTTTGCAGTGTGAATTATTTTAAATAAAAATATATAAATATGTCTAAAAATATAGCACATGTATACTCCAAAAGACTAAAGTCATTATTTAGAAGGTCCTCTGAGCTGTGAAATTTCATGTGCTCAAAGCCTTTCAATGCATTATATGAGCCTCCTGCCTTAAGTCTATAAATTTTTATTGTTTTAAAGCACATAAAAATTTCTTGAATGATTTCCAATCATTTGTTTTCCACAGAAACTCATCTGCTGAACTGCCCTTCAACATTTACTTTGCTTCTTAACAGTGCAAATTATAGCTAAATACAAAACACTCAACAACCATACATATTGCTCTAATTGTGTGCTGTAGAGCTGACACGGAATAATGAAATGCTAATTGCAATTAGAACGTTTTATTTGTTCAGAACTGATTCCTTGGTTTGACCCACTTTCAGAATTTTCTATAACCACAAGGCTTATGCTCAAATACCACCAAAGAATCCACTGTCCATAACCTGAATCAGTGTTTTCACCAGTCCCTTCCCATTATAAACACTGCGGCTCAGGGCAGAGCCATCAGGAAACTCCTTCGTCTATACACACAAAAAAACACTCACATTGTATTAAGGCTATCGTGAAAATGGCAAAAGCCCCCATTTGTCAGATTTGCTAAACACCTGCCACACCCGCCTCTAAACGAGATGGACTAGGACTAGCATACACACCTAGTAGACTGCGCTAGGTATTTGCTAGTCAGGTATGGAAGACAGGATACTTTCTCCAAACCTCTCTCATGCAATATTGGTTATCAGTATCCCCCTGCAGCTATTGGAAATGCCAATTTTTTTCTAGGTGAGTGGATGACCAAGTAAAACTATGACTTGTTACCTGAATGCATCACAAAGAAAAGTTTTTTCAAAGAAGATCACTACTTTACCTGTTTGACATCATACGCCAGAAGAACATATTTTAAATCTGGTGAAACTGAATGTTTTGATGCTTTGAAGGTTACCTAGAAATTAAAAAAAAAAAAGGCAGTTATAAAAGCAGTGAAAAGCTTAGTAACAGAGACATTAATATGCATTTGGGTATGTAGATATTTAAAAAGATCTCAGTTCTCATCACAACACAGTGAGTGGTATAGGCATTTTCATTCTTATTATAAATATGCACATACATGTATATATGTATGTATGATTATGCAAATGGATATAAAAACTTAGAGGCTATACTAGACATTTCCTTAAAAAGAAAATTTGCTAGCATATCTTTTTTACATGTTATCATTTAAAGACAATGTTAATATTTTCATTAAAAGAAAAGAAAGGCAAAAAATCACAACTTTTGGTAAGCAAAATGCTTTTATATTTGCATGTTGAATTAAATTAAAAAAAGAAACAGTAACATGCTGTGATGTCATGATTTTTTGTCTTTGTACTTCTGTTTTCTTATAGGTTGCATACTTGTAGTTAAAAGAAGATACTTAAAGACAGAGTCTCTTTAGAGGATACTCCCATAGTAAAATTAATTAAAACACAAGTAACTGATTATACTTGATTATACTGTACCTGCTTAATTTTGATCCTATAATTCTATCATTGAATAGACCTAATGTCAGAAAGAATTGAAAATAAAGTGAAAGAGAAATACATTGAGAGTGGAGAAATAATTTTATTTGAAACAAAGATTGTATTTAATTTCAGATCTAAAGAGAAGGCAAACAAGTTGAGTTAATGCATCAAAAGCCTACAAAATACAAACAAAAGATAAAATGGACTGTATATGCGTTATAGGCAAACTAGTTTGTATGGGTTTTGGAGAGAAATACATATGTAAATAATTTCATACACCTTACACCAGGCCGATTTCTATAAGACTGTTGTCTGTGAACAATGAAAAAGGGTGAAGTAAGGGTTTTTATACTTAGAAACCCCCAAGAAAACAAGAAACTCAGACTAATTAATATTTGAAGGAAGCTTGTGTGGTATAATAAAAAAAAAATGTATTTAGTCTTTTTCTCTGATTCCTTGCATAAAGCTCCTAAAATGCTTGGAATTTTCTGAGTGATAGGAGTGTCATTTGTTATTAATTAATTAAGTTAGTTCCCTTTGACCATATTTGGTTTATGCCAGTGAGATGACTCATGGGGTAGAGGTGGGGGGAGGGTAGTTAGACAGCTTCTGTAAGGGGGCTACCCACCAAAGGAATCAACCACCTGATTAAAGAATTAGAACTTTCCCCACCATAACTGGAGGTCAGGGCAGATGGAGGGATGGAAGATGGAGTTCAGTCACATGGCCAATGATGTAGTCAATCACACTTACGTAATGAGACCTCAATAAAAATCTGTGAATGATGAAGTTTGGAGGTACTTCCTGGTTAGTAAACATATCGACATACCAGGAGGGTGGCACCTCCCAACTCCACAGAGACAGAGAATATGCTCGGACCCTTCTGGACTTGCCCCATTTACCAGTTCATCTGGCTCTTCATTTGTAGCTTCTAAAATAAGCCAGTATTCCTAAGTATACACTTTCTGTACCTTTCTAGCAAATTATCAAACCTGAAGGAAGATTGTGGGAACCACCAAATGTATAGCCAAGTTAGACTGAGATGCAGGTAGCCTGGAGACTTGGGACACGCAGGTGGCATCTGAACAGGGGCAGTCACCGAGTCCTTAACCTGGAGGGTCTATACTAATTCTGGTTAGTTAGAATTGAATAGACTTGTAGGATACCCAGGTGGTGTCAGAAAATTGTACTGGAATAACACAGTTAATCTCTGAGCCAGAAAGGCAAGAGAATGGAGTGGTCTGGAAGAAAAAACTGTTATATGGCAATGCTAAGATTTGGAGGTTTTGCCTACATACATCTATCTTATACAGCTTTTGTATAAGGCACTTTAGGAGAAGGTCAGAATAATCATTGGCAGTAATTCATCTCAAAGATTTTAGTTTTAATTTTTTAAAAATCCATTTCAATAATAATGGAAATAGCAAGCAATGATAACAACAGAGCTACCATTCATCTATTATCAGCTCTGTAAACTGCTTATAATTTTGTAGTTCTCAATAGTTCTAACCCTTCTCATGATAAATATTGACATAGCTACCCTCATCCTTATTCTTCCTTTTTCTGTCATTAGCTTATTGTGTATGGAAACCCAATGGCAGTTGGTCTGCACAGAACTTTTTAAAAATATTTATTTATTTTTATTTTAGAGAGAGAGAGAAAGTGAGCAGGGTTGGGGCCAGTGAGGGCAGAGGGAGAAGGAGAGAATCCTCAAGCAGGCTCTCTATTGAGCATGGAGCTGGATGCAGGGCTTAGTCTCAGGACCCTGAGATCATGACCTGAGCCGAAATCAAGAGGCAGATGCTTAACTGACTGAGCCACTCAGGCGCCCCCTAGTCTGCACAGAATTTGGGTGATGATGAGAAAATAAGGTCTCATGTCTCTCAACATTACACTATCAAGGGGGGTATTTTAACACAGTAAGGGGAGGTTTACTGCTATTTAAAAATTGGTCAAAAAGATGAGCACACATAACAAAAGAATATAGGAGAAACTCCTTTAATAAACCCTGCAGTATCCCACCAGCAGGAGTTCCTTTCTTTATGTTTTGGAAGAGCACTTCCCCATCTGAATTATTTAAAGAACATCTCACCTCCCTAGTCCTCATCCACTCTCACGTGACGTGACGTTCCTCACACAAATTAACTTCACACGTTCACAGTTGTGTCTGTGCCTCCGGTAACAACATTGGAGTATCTTTTACAGTTCCTACAATTATCCAGTCTGGCACTTTATTAATTATCACTATACTGCCTCCAGCTTATGCAGCGCACAAACTGGGAAACTTTCCAAATACCTTTTCAGGGGCCCAAGCTGCTGAGCCTTCTCTGAATTTAGAGAGCTGTGCGCAGGTCACTGATGCTGCAAATTGACTTGTTGATGGTACGTGTAACTTAGTCAAGGGACATCAGAAGTCTCGGGAAAATCCCCCTTAGCATAGCCTTTAAAGTTATCATCTGTTGCATCTGGGAGATTCATTCTTTCTAGCAGCTACAGGAGACCCCTTGATTTACACTGACCCTAATTATAGACATTAGTATAGTTCTGGTTGAGACTCAACTTGATATGACTTTAAATTAGTGTTTTGAAAGGTTTATTATTGCCAATAAGGCTATTATGTTACCTACATATTTAATAAATTACTATTGAAATAAAAGGATGCAGAAATAGTTTCTACGTGTGTTTATTAGGATTATTTAACAATAATGCCTACCAGAGCATTTTTTTGACACCAGACATGGCACAAAGGACATTAAAATATATGAATCCCGCCCTCTAGGAACATTCAACTAAAGCCAAGCGAGGCAGGATAAACAGGAAAACAATCATGCACATGCTTAACTAAACCAATTAAATGAGGAAGACATTTGATCAAGTTGAGAAAAAAAAAAAATGTATTCTTCCAGGCAGCTTGCAAAGATTTTGTTGTACCTCATTTGTATGTATCATTCAGTTCTACCAAAATGCATTTATTGAACATTCACAATATGACCAGTACCATAGTAGACACTGAGAGTGCTATAAGGTTGAAAAACCGAGTTCACTAGAATTGTTTCTATCCCATATTGGCAAGATAAGACAAGCACTATGTTTCTCTTTGGTCCATGGTAGAGTGGGAGTCTCCAACCCAAATGCCAAAAGGGACTGGGTATGGAGTGGCAGAATTAAGCTGTATGGGTAAAATGAGGTTCAGACTGTCTAAAAGGGACAATAGTCCCTTAGCTTCAGATAAGCATTATCTTATAGGAAAGTGGATACAGTATTCTAGTGTTCCAATTTTTTTCAAGATCAGCTAGAAATCAAGATTTTAATTTACAATCTTATGATTTTAACTATAGCCCAATACTTTTAAATATATTTATTAGGCATCAATTTCTGCCTGAGGGCTACCAGTTTGCTAATTTTTGGTAAAGTAATAACTGCCATAAAGATGAAGGAAGAGAAAGAAGAAAATGAGAAGAGATTTAAAGCACAGAATGGTGGGGCACCTGGGTGGCTCCGTCCGTTAAGCATTTGACTCTAGATTTCACCTCAGGTCATGATCTCAGGGTCTTGAGATCAAGCCCAGCATAGGGCTTTGCACTCAGCAGGGAGTCTGCTTCAGATTCTCTCTCTCTCCCTCTAATCCTCCCCTCACTCACTCTCTCGTGCTCTCTCTCTCTCTCTCAAATAAAATAAGTTAAATGAACTCTTAAAAGAAATAAAGAACAGAGTGGTATCCTTTTCATATATTTTGTGGTAATGTAAGTGAAAAATTCATGATCCAGTGTTTTCCAGATAAATGAAATTATAGACTATGTTATTAGAATAATCTTAACAAAATGCACAAGAAGCTTAAAGAGATTACTGGAAAGGTGGGGGTTAGCCCCATGGATTATTGCTATTATTAATAATGCATGCACTATTACTAATATGAATATAGCAGAGCTGATCACTGTTTTCATGAATGGTCAAGTTTATAGCCAAAAAAAAAGCAACAAAATCAGATTTGAATTTAGAGCAACTACTTCGGCAGTGGGTAAAAAATGAGTTGGATCTGATGACAACATGAGGTCACTAGATCTGGTAAGAAGCTCTCAAGACAATTTGGGCAAGCAATGCCAAGAAGTTAAGAATGAAACAAGGGCATAGAGAGGAAGGGACACATGCAAGGGAGATGGTTGATAAAAACAAAAGAATTTAATGATTAGGTCTAAACACTGAGAAACAAGGAAATGTACAAAACAATTTTGTGTTTCAAGTTTCTGTCACTGGTTGAATGTTGCTATTTCAACTTAAATTGGGAAAGATGACAAAAATGCATATTTTCAGGAAAGTTTGAAACATGCCATTTTTAGATGTGTTACAGTTGTAGCCCTTTTAGAATATCCAACAGGAAATGTTTAAGATTTTGTATAAAAGCCTCAAGTTTAAGAGATATATCTAGGATCTGCCTTATTAA